ACCACAAACATGGGGTCATCAGTAGAGGGGGCAGAGATGATGCTCCTTTTGACTCCCCCTGCAAGTGAGCCCCAGCCTTCTCCAAGGAGGTGAAGACACTAGTGGACTCCACAACATACTGAGTGCCACTTAAGTACTAAATATCCCATTTGATTTTGGTGGGATCTTACTCCTAAATGACGGTGATAGTATTACCATTGATGACAAGCTTCCCCTTCTCAGCCTTGACTGTGCCACAGAATTTGTCATGGGTGGAATCATACTGGATTATGTAGACTGTGTACTTGAGATCAATGAAGGGGTCACTGATGGCAACAATATCCACTTTACCAGAGTTTAAAACAACCCTCATGACTGGCGCCCAATACAGTCAAATCCATTGACTCCGGCCTTCACCTTCACCACTTCTGAGGGAAGTGGCTGGTGATGCATGAGTGAGAACAAGCTGTGTTTGGTTTTCCGTTCTTGTGTCAGCTTGCTGAGGTACATGTGCAAATCTTACATGATTGTTGCATAGGTACACACATGCCATGGTGGTTTGCTGTCTCCATCCCCCTGTCACCTATATCAGGCATTTCTCCCAGTGTTATCCCTCCCCTACCTCCCTGCCCCCTGCTGTCCCTCCAATAACCCCCAAACCCCCAAGAGACCCCAGTGTGTAATGCTCCCCTCCTGTGCCCATGTGGTCTCATTGTTCAACACTCACCTATGAGTGAGAACAAGCTGTGTTTGGTTTTCTGTTCTTGTGTCAGCTTGCTGAGGATGATGGTTTCCAGATTCATCCATGTCTCTACAAAGGACATAAACTCATCCTTTTTTATGGCTACATAGTATTCCATGGTGTATATGTGCCACATTTTCTTTGTCCAGTCTATCACTGACAGGCATTTGGGTTGGTTCCACATCTTTGCTATGGTAAACAATATCACAATGAACATATGTGTGCATGTGTCTTTATAATAGAATGATTTATAATCTTTTGGGTATATATCTAGTAATGGGACTGCTGCATCAAATGGAATTTCTATTTCTAGGTCCTTGAGAAATTGCCACACTGTCTTCCACAATGGTTGAACTAATTTCCACCAACAGTGTAAAAGTGTTCCTATTTCTCCACATCCTCTCCAGCATCTGTTGTTTCCAGATTTTTTAATGATTGCCATTCTAACTGGAATGATGTGGTACCTCAATGTAGTTTTGATTTGCATTTCTCTAGTGACCAGTGATGATGAGCATTTTTTCATATGTTTTTTGGCCTCATAAATATCTTCTGCTGAAAAGTGTCTGTTAATGATTACAAGTACAAACCAAAATGTCTTAAATGATTTTAAGTTTTCTTGAATTGCTAACAGTTCATTTCATCTAGGGGGCAGTGATGAGCTGGGGTAAAAAGGATCATATTGGTACAGTGTACTGAAGTGCAGGTTGCCACTCTTACTCTTGCAAATGATTTTAATTGCACTCCTAAATAGTCTGTCTTGGAAAAAATAATTGAATAAATTTCCAAATATTCATAATGTTTCTCTAGCAACCCATTCATAGCAATTCCCAATTAATCAATTACATGTTGACTTTCATTAAAATATTAGAGAAAAAAATTAACGTTTAATATTTGGTGATTTGGTATTTTTTTATACCTGATGTGGTGTTCGCTTTCAATTTTTTCACAGCTGCTTAAACTAACTGCAGCTGATTATCTTTAATCGCAGATTCTATATTTGTAAATTCCCCTATGAGCTAAAATTTATTTATAACCCTCAAAGATAATACTTGAGATGCTTTTACCATCATTTGTGAACATTCACAGAGCAACAAGAACTGGATTTGCCTGATACACAACAGCTAAGGTAGAACAAGGCGACTCTCTGTCTTCTTGTTTCAATTCTCATATCCTAACCAAGTGGCCTTTCTGAGATCTCTTTGTGCCGTGTTCTTTGCACTATTTGCTTTTTACTCGCATCTTTACTCTTTCAAATGCTTCTCCCCGTCAGCGCAGTGCTGAAGTGCTTTCTACTATTCCTGAGGGCAAGAAAACTGTGATCTGCTATATGGACACATTAGGTGTATTAGATGAGCTCTGTTCAGGCACAAATGATAGAGCCATTGGCCGTGAGTTCAATGTTAATGAATCAACAATAATTATTTAACAAGGTGTCTTTAGACTGAAAGGTTATGTGTTAATTGGCTGATTAAAATGTGTAATCAGAGGTGCACAGGACACTAATCCTGTATTTCCCGTATGAGGGAATTTTAGTATTCTCTAATTCATTATTTTTGATGAATTTATAGAACATAACTACCATGAATAATGAAATTTGCTTGCATCACCTCCATGTGTGTATATATATTACATATAATATTCATATGCTTTGTGTATATATTACATTTTGCCTCTCTATATATATATGTATATTTATCTCTTTAATAAATTGAGTTACATTTTAGACAAAAGTTGATGTTAGTTTCTAGTAAAGTTTTCTATCATATGTAGCTTTTTTAAATTTAGTTTTCATTTGGAGTTTTGATTAAACTACTATAATTCTATGATGTTTCTATACTAAATTATTGCTGTACTGATTTACATTTAAAGATTTTATGAAACTACAACACATTTGAATTCTTAGGGTAAACAATACTTGAAAACAGTCAGAATACATTTTACATAAATATTCATCAATATATGAATGGCAAGAAGAAATATATGCAGATTATTTTATAACTATATTAATCACAATTTTCTTTATAAAAAATACATAATCAATATTCAGATGAAGAAAAGCAATATTAGTGAGACAATCAAAAGCCTCTTACATGCCCCAAGACCCTACTTTACACCCAAAGTAGCTACAGTTCTGTCATTTAAGACCACTGCTTGTGTTTACACTTACATAAATAAAATCAAAGGGTATAAACATAAACTTTTAATGTATTTTTTTGTTCAGTGGCAGGTAATTTGTGTTTTTTAAATTGTAGCTCATCAGGAAATTCTTGAATCTTCTCTATCAGATAAATAAGGGAAAGTTGCCCAATTACCTATTTCATTCTCTAATTTAACATTAAATCTAATTTAATGAGAATGAGTCTTAGTCCACAGATTCAGCTAAGCAAGAACAGCAGCATTAACAAGTAACATTTTATTTAATTTCTAAATGTGTGCTCTCGTTCTTCCTTGTCATTTTTATTGTATTATCCTAGAATAATTCAGCACATTACTAATGAGGAAAGGCTACATCTGAGCTTTAGTCACAGATCAACAAAGGTTGTGGCTCAAATATTCATCATCCCTGTTCTATGTTATTCCTGTGCCCATAACCACTTCTAGTCTGAAAATAACCTGCTAGTTCTGTGTCATGTTTAGGGCACAGGAGGAGTTTCCTCTGAGACTACCTGTAATCCTCCATGTTCAATTATGATACATAGGAATTTCCCTTCTGACCTCATCAACCTCTCACAGTGATGCTAAGCACAGCATACACTACTTTTGTATTAAAGACCTTTAGAATATTTCCTCTTATTTTTCTCTTCTTGACCAGCCAGGATAATATCCTTTCAATTTCATGATCATTTTTTGCCCTTCATGTGTTTTCAAGATACTGTGCTCTTATATCCTTTTCATTTTCTTGTCTCTACACACCTTTTGAGGCCCTTTTGAACTTAGAAATTTCTTGGAAAAAGCTAGCAAAAAATGAAGGCAACTTCATTTTGCTCTCCCACATGCTTCTTCTTAGATAACGAATTAGCTAATGATCTACAAATTTAAATGTGTAGACAAAATAAGTAATTAAATATTGTTAATAAGCATACATATTTTAAATCTTGAATGTTTTCTTATTAGCCCACTAAATTTTACTGAAGGTAAAGAAATAGTATAAAGACAAAAAATAATTATAAAAAAATACCATACAAACTTACCAATGCTTTAAATGCAGTTGTGGAGACAACCTTTTGATCTCTTCTCGTAAACTTCCCGAGAAATGATGTCTCATCTGGGGAAAAGAGCCTGGACTGAAGAGATGTGAAGGTACTTTCTTACTCCAAACAGTGATTATTCTAAATATTAAATATCATTGCATCATCTGAATTACCAAAGCTCTCCAAATTCAAAACATTCTAGTAGATTAAATTGCTCCTTCTGAGAGTATACATATTTATTTCACAGAAGGTCAAGGTGAAAAAAAAGAATCAGAGAAGACTTAAGCTAATGCTTTCATGTAGAACAGAACACTGAGGTTTAAACAGGGTGAATGACAAAACTGTCTAAAATATTAGTATCAATGGTATGTCTCTTTATATATTGACTCCTGTTTTGTTCCAAGGCAAAGTATGTTGAAATTATATTATATTAAATTATATTACTTGTGTAATATAATCAAGAATGTATTCTTAATTCTATGTGTATTTTAAAAATCATATTATATTATCTGAAGCTGAAAAACTTATTCTCAAGTAGTTTAAACCTATTTCTCACAGGTAGAAATCTATTCCTTTAATTAACAAAATATTGAATAATTATTAATAGTTAATAAGGTAAAAATAAGTGGCTATTATTACAAATATACCAGTTTAATACCATACCCCTAAATAACATATCTCCTGATATTCTAACAAGATTTTTAGAAACAAAAAGAGTATTATATCTTAACTTCTTCATGTCTCAGTTATCAAATTTCTTAGGCAACAACATTATAAATATGCAATTTTAAAACTAACTTCTTTTAAGATACATATGTAAATGATATGGTTGCTAATCAAATCAGAGTTCATCCATTATATCCTGTTTCATAACAATTTAAACTAAAGCATAATTTTGTTTTATACATCAACAACATTTTCATTCTGGGAAATAGTTTCATAATATATACTAAGATCATATAAAATGAATTATTATTGCAACTAAGTGTGTACTGTGAAATGGCTTAGCAAAACACTAGCTTGCATACCATATTCTTGTCCTGCTTAACAATTGCAATAAAATAGAAATGATAAGGCCATAAAGAACAATGTATAATAAGAAACAGAAATCGCTGTGCATTACATTGTCATTTGATATGATGAACTGTAGCTTGCCGACAGTAATCTTAATGAGGATTACAGTAGCGATATTGAAATACATATGTGGCCTTCTATTAACAATAAGATACTCAAATGTATTTTACTGTGTCTCTATTTCCATGCTACTTTGTAAATGCTGTTGTTTTAATTAACAGGACTTTGAAAATCCATTTGATTAGAAATTTGAATGTCAAGTTAAACCATCAATAAAATTAGTCAGAAACAACATACTGAGCAAATGTAGAAAATTTCAATGGCTTTGAAATTTTTATTGTGAAGGAAAATTAAATTTAACTGACAAGATGTATAATCTTGTACTGACATTCAGAAAACTATGCAAGTCTTAGCCATGGGTTCACCAGCTGGATAAGTTGCTTTTATGTGCATCTATTCTCATAAGATGAGCAGGACATGTAGTCGCGTTTAAATACTCAAGCAATCATGTAATTAGTGCTATGTATTTTCTGCCTTGCTGTTGAGGAATCTAAATGTATCTTTCATTATTTAGGATTCTTTCAGTTAAATGTGTCAGAGATTCTAATCTAACTAGGGCTGAAGTTTGAAGGAAAGGGGTGGAGGTTTGGCTAAAAAATTTCAAGAAATTGAACAAATCAACAAAAATGCAGAAAGAAAGCTGAACCAAAAGTTCATTGAATCTCACACAAGTATTGGTTCAATTCATATGTTTTTCCCTATTTGTGCTATTTTGTTTTGTTTTGTTTTGTTTTGTTTTGTTTTTTCACATTAATCATGGCTAGCATTTGGCTGGATAATAGAAGGATGAAAAAGTTCTCTTTGGGGCAAAACTGTTTGGAGTAGAGCAAGTTTTATAAAGGGGGCTGTTGTTCTGAGAGAAGCGCAGACCACATAATTATTGCCTTGCATACATTGTTTTAGTTGCATATGGAATTTAGAGACTGTAAACTGGAGCTCTCAGTTTAGGTTGATTAATTTATATAAAATTAGTTATTATCGAGTACATGCTATGTGCAAAAAGCTATGCTAAACACCCGGGATTCCACAATGAAAGAGACCCACAGCCTTGCATCCTGCACAATTCAGAGTGAAGGCAGCTAAACTAAAGGTTAATAAACAAATGCGAAAACCAAATTTTCACAGCTATCATGTTAAATAAACAGGGGATGGTGACAGACAATGGCGCGGGGTGGCTATTTTAAACAATGCACTCAGTGAAGGACTTTTTGTGGAAGCCAGGGATAAAAAGACAGCAGCATGTGCAAAGTGTTTCAGTTGGGAAAGATTGTGGTCTTTCAAACAAACTAATAATTCATAATTAGTCCTAGATAGTCCAGTCTGTAGGGTAGTCCTAATTAAGTCTGGAAAAACAATTAGATCATCTAGGAACTCAAAGTCCTGGAATGTGAATTTTATTCTAAATGTAATATGAAGTCACTGAAAAAGTTCAAGGTAGGGAGCAACAAGATTTCATTGGTGTTTTAAAATGATTCATTTTTGCCGTTAGGTAGAGAACCTCTTGGGAAGTAGATGAAAAGTTTTATTTGGTGACAATAGATTTCAGTACTGAGATAAAGAAAGAATCCAATATAATGAAAAATTTCAGTCTTCAGTATTTAGATGCTGCTAGCAAGTACTAAAAAGTAGACCTGTGTATGTACAAATAACTAGCAGGAAGAAATTAAGAGTCCATTGTAGTATATAATAATGTTGAAATGATAGAGAGACATTCAAATGAAAGAAAATCATATAAGCAGTCCCCTCGTTGAATGCCTGCATGTCTCCCTGTAGAAACATCATATTCTGTGATCAATCGTCTCCTTGGAGCTCTAAAGATGAGCTCCTTTAATTACCACTCTGTTGTTGCTGCTCATTGTTAAGTATTGTGTCCATGTGGCTTTTGACATTTAAGTGCCACCTCCTGGCCTCTCAGAGTATCAATTCTTTGACAGTATCATCACCTAGTATTTGCCCTAGCCTGCAAAAGAAAGCCACCACTGAGGTTCTCAAAGACAGTGGTGGCCCTGTAGGCTGCACATTCCTTATCACTTTGGTACGTGGAGTGTCAGTAGTTTTCCAGCCTTATGTTGAATATGTACTATACAATCCTCATTTCTCTAAGCCTAGGTACCTTACCTTCTTTATCAGTATTTTTGGCATTTCTACTTTATTTAACATGAGTCACTGCTTCAGCCAAGATTAAAAGACATCATCATAGCATGATAGTATCATTTCTTAGGATTCTTGTCAGAGTATTAAATCTTGTATCACAGGAGGTTTCTCCCATACCAACAAACTCTCTCTTCTTCAATTTTACGTTTTCCTTGCTGTATCAAATGGCTTCTGACAATACTTATTAACCAGATTCTGAAACTGACTCATTTTACATGATCTCATCCCTCTTTAAAAGCTCAACTTCCATTCAATTATACTATACCAGTCTAGCTAGATTGAGGTTTATTTAGGTCTGGTTGCCGAGAAGGGACGTAAGGGTGAATCCTAAGGCAGGCAAACTTTATTTTATAAAGCACCTACATGATCTTCAAACAAAGGAAGAAGAAACTATCTTCTGTCAGGGGTAATGTGCCACTCTTGTGGGCCCAGTTGGTTCAGTGAAATCTGCAAGTACAGTGTTTTCAATTGTACCTGCTCTATTTTCACCAGACCAATCATTCACAATTAGATCCCAAACAATTTTAGTAAAGCAATACATTAAATATTCACTGAGAGTGAACAACTTTCTAAAGCATAAGGTTGCAGGAATAAAATTCATGTGAAAGTTTAAAGGTGTCTTAGCAAATATCTAGATGTGTTTCATTTCAAAAGGGAAAAAATAAAATTACTAAAGAGGTTTTCTCTCCACAGATTGATAACAATATCTTAATTGTCAGCAGATTCCTATAACTCAGAAAGCAATGGTTTGCACATGTTTAAAGGCTGAAATAAATTGTATAGAGAAGTGATCCTGCTTGGGTATATATAAAAGAAATAGACAAAAGAGAAGTGTCTGCCTAATGTGTGGCTAATTTGTACATTATAGTGACATTTAGAAAGTCAGTTCAATTTTCTGATTCATCTTCATTCACTGAATGATAAACAAGAGTTACAAAAGAACACAACTGCATAGTGGTTTGTTAGGAAACTTGGAAATAATATATATAAGCGTCTCAGTATATGTACATAGTAGGTGGTACTTTTATAAATGTTTCTTGAATAAACTTTGCTCATTCCATGCAAGATAACAATTATGTTTATAAGAATTATGAATGGCATTGTGCTTGTGTCAGACAGATTCTTAGAAAATGCATTATATTATCATAACGGATGAAAATATGTTAAGAAAAAAATACATATCTTTTACATTACTATTGTAAACTTCCATTCCTAGGAAGCCTAAAGTTTCCAAAGTCTGTTATATATTCTGAGGAAATAGAATTAGTGACTTCAGACCTTAAAGCACTGAAAATTCAATTGACATAGTTTATTGAATTTCATGATAAAAAATAAATCTACAAAGAAATATGCAGGTTTAAATGTAAATTTAAAATACTGTATTTATTTAACAAATTTATCAAATCCTATGCATAAAGATGACTCTTCTTTGCAATAACCTAGGTGTTGCATGTTGTTTTTATTATACTAGCATTACAGGCTGAAGAAAATCTTGGTGTGGTGATGATCTTTACTCTAGTGACAGCTGTACCAGAAAAATTAAATGAAATAGTGGATCAGATAAAAACTAGAAGAGAAGAAGAAAAGAAACAAAAAGAAAAAGAAGCAAAAGAAGCTGAAAAGCAATTATTCCATGACACTTCAGTTACAATTGATAATTTCTTAAATTGGAAGGCGAAATTTGATGCAGAACTCTTGGAAATTAAAAAGAAAAGGATGAAAGAAGGAGAACAAGCAGGAAAAAATAAATTAAGTGGGAAACAACTATTTGAAACAGATCATAATCTAGACACATCTGATATCCAGTTCTTGGAGGATGCCGGAAACAATGTGGAGGTAGATGAGTCTTTGTTCCAAGAAATGGACGACTTGGAGCTAGAGGATGATGAAGATGATCCAGACGACAATCCTGCTGACCCAGAGAGCGACGGAGCTGATGAACAGACTGTCCCCGCCTGCAGAGAGGCTTGACTGCCACAGCAACTGCGCCTATGTTCAGAGGGTTTTGATTTTCCTTTCTTTTTTTCTAGGAAAAAATTCTCAGGAGAATATTCTTCTGATAGCTTTCATCATTGAACTTAATAAATTTATACTTTCATTGTTCTAGAACATTTTAAAATCCCTTTTTGGACATAACTTTAGAGCCAATATATAAAACAATTCTTATTATAAAGTTTCATAATCCAAATTAGGGTTCCTCCGAGCTTCTACAGTTTTATAGATTTTGAGAAATCTGTGATGTCATGTATCCAACATTACAGTATCATACTAAATATTTCCACTGCTTTAAATGTTTCCTCTTCAGCTATTCATTCTATTCCCAACTCTTCATATGCCCTCATCTCCTGCAATAACTTCCTGACAACCACGAGTATTTCACTCTATCTATAGTTTTGCCTTGTCCACAATATCATATATTTGGCTTACACAGTATGTAAGCTTTCCACATTGGCTTCCTTGACACAGCAATGTGCAATTTAGATTCGTTGGTGTTTTTTCAATGGAATGATGGCTCATTACTTTATATTATTGAAAAATATTATATTCTATAAATTTACCATATATTATAATCTATTAGAAAGACATCCTTATTGCCCTCAATTTTCAATAATTTTGAATAAAGCTGCTATAATCATTTGTGTCCAGGTTTTTTTCTGTCTACGTAAGTTTGCTACTAATTTGCATAACACCATATTTGGATCATAAGGTGAAAGTATGCTTGTTTATATTTTTTAAAATGCCAAGCTATCTTCCAGAGTGTGTACCATTTTGCATCCTGGAGAACAGTCAATGAGTTTATGTGGTCCACATCCTCACCAGCACTGGGCTTTGGCCACTCTACTAGGTATGTAATTGCATCTTACATTAATTTGCAATTTCCTACTGACACATGATGCTTGAGTATAATTTTCGTATTTCTTTGCCATCCGTATATAATTTTTTATGTGTCTCTTCAAGTATTTTAGCCACTTTTGAATTGGGTTGTTTGTTTCCTTACTGTTGAATTTTAATTTTTTCTTTATATATTTTGGATACAGCATCTTTATTAGATAAGTGCTTTGCAAATATGCTCTCCTGTTACGTTAATTGTCTTCTCATTCTCTTATTTTTTTTATCAGAAACTATAGGGGTCATTTATTACTATAATATAACTGTCATATATATATGTAACCTGACATTCACTTTCTGGTTTAGACCACTTGATTTTTAAGTTTTATTTATTTATTATTATTTTTAATTGTACTTTAGGTTCTGGGGTACATGTGCACATCATGCAGGATTGTTGCATAAGTACATACATGGCAAGGTGGTTTGCTGCCTTCATCACCCCACCACCTGCATCTGGTATTTCTCCGCTCATTATCCCTTCCCACCCTCCCCACCTCGCTGTCCCTCCCCTATCCCCCCCTACTGACCAAAGTGTGTGATGCTTCTCTCCCTGTGTCCACATGCTCTAATTGTTAAACACCTGCCAATGAGTGATAACACGCAGTGTCTGGTTTTCTGTTCTTGTGTCAGTTTGCTGAGAATGATGGTTTCCAGATCTATCCATGTCCCTATGAAGGACAGGAACTCATCGTTTTTTATGGCTGAGTACTATTCCATGGTGTATATGTGACACATTTTCTTTATCCAGTCTATCGTCGATCGACGTTTGGGTTGGTTCCAAGTCTTTGCTGTTGTAAACAGTGCCACAATGAACATACTTGTGCATGTGTCTTTATAATAGAATGATTTATAACTCTTTGGGTATATATCCAGTAATGCAATTGCTGCATTAATTGGTATTTCTATATCTAGGTCCTTGAAGAATCACCACACTGTCTTCCACAGTGGTTGCACTAATTTGCACTCCCACCAACAGTGTAAAAGTGTTACTATTTCTCCACATTCTCTCCAGCATCTGTTGTCTCCAGATTTTTTAATGATTGCCATTCTAACTGGAGTGAGGTGGTATCTCAATGTGGTTTTGATTTGCATTTCTCTAATGACCAGTGATGATGAGCATTTTTTCATATGTTGTTGGCTGCATAAATGACTTCTTTTGAAAAGCGTCTGTTCATATCCTTTGCCCACTTTTTGACCAGGTTGTTCACTTTTCTCTTGTAAATTGTTTAAGTTCTTTGTAGATTCTGGATATTAGCCCTTTGTCAGATGGGTAGAATGCAAAAATTTTTTCCCATTCTGTTGGTGGTCAGTTCACTCAAACGACAGTTTCTTTTGCTGTACAATTTCTTTAGTTTAATTAGATCCCATTTGTCAATTTTGGCTTTTGTTCCCATTGCTTTTGGTGTTTTAGTCATGAAGTCCTTGTCTATGTCTGTCATGAATGGTATTGCCTAGGTATTCTTACAGGGTTTTTATGGTGTTAGGTCTTATATTTAAATCTTTAATCCACCTGAAATTAATTTCTGTAATCTCTGGTACACATTTAAAGCAGTGGCTACAGGGAAATTCACAGCACTAAACTCCCACATGAGAAGCAAGGAGAGATCTAAACTTGACACCCTAACATCACAAGTGAAAGAACTAGAGGAGCACAACCAAACAAATGCAAAAGCTAGCAGAAGACAAGAAATAACTAAGACCAGAGCAGAACTGAGGGTGATAGAGACACAAAAACCCCTTCGAAATATCAGTGAATGCAGAAGTGGGTTTTTTTTGCAAACATCAACAACATAGATAGACCACTAGCCAGACTAATAAAAAAGAAAAGAGAGAAGAATCGAATAGGTGCAATAAAAAATGACGAAGGAGATATCACCACCGATTCCACAGAAATGCAAACTACCATCAGAGATTACCACAAACACCTCTATGCACATAAACCAGTAAATCTAGAAGAAATGGATACATCCTCCCAAGACTAAACCAAGGAAGAAATGGATATCTGAATAGACCAATAATAAGACTAAACCTCCCAAGAAATGGATACATCTTCCCAAGACTAAACCAGGAAGAAGTTGCATATCTGAATAGACTAATAATAAGATCTGAAGTTGAGGTACGAATTAACAGCCTACGAAGGAAAAAAAAAAAAAAAAACCAAGACTAGATGGGTTCACAGCTGAATTATATCAGACGTACAAAGAGGAGCTGGTACCATTCCTTCAGAAACTATTCCAAACAATACAAAAAGAGGGAATCCTCCCTAATTCATTTTATGAGACCGACATCATCCTGATACCAAAACCTGGCAGAGACACAACTACAAAAGATAATTTCAGGAAAATCTTCAATAAAATACTGGCAAACTGAATTCAACTGCACATCAGAAAGCTTATTCATCATGATCAAGTCAGCTTCACCCCAGTGATGCAAGGCTGGTTCAACATATGCAAATCTATAATATAATCCATCACATAAACAGAACCAAAACTAAAAACCATAGGATTATCTCAACAGATGCAGAGAAGGCCTTTGAAAAAATTCAATATCCCTTTATGCTAAAAACTCTCAATAAACTAGGTATTGATGGAATGTATTTTGAAATAATAAAAGCTATTTATGATGACAGCCAATATCATACTGAATGGGCAAAAATGGGAAGCATTCCATTTGAAAACTGGCACTAGAGAAGGGTGTCCCCTCTCACCATTCCTATTCAACATAGTACTGGAAGTCATGGGCAGAGTAATCAGGCAAGAAAAAGAAATAAAAGGTATTCAATTAGAAAAAGAGGAAGTCAAATTGTCTCTATTTGCAGACCACATGATTGTATATTTAGAAGACTCCCTCATCTCAGCCCAAAATCTTCTGAAACTGATAAGCAACTTCAGCAAAATCTCAGGATACAAAATCAATGCACAGAAATCACAAGCATTCCTATACACTAACAACAGACAAAAAGAGAGACAAATCATGAGTGAACTCCCATTCACAATCACTACAAAGAGAGGAAAAATACCTAGGAATACAACTAAAAGAGATGTGAAGGACTGCTTCAAGGAGAACAACAAACAACTGCTCAAGGGAAATAAGAGAGAACACAAACAGATGGAAAAACATTCCATGATTATGGTTAGGAAGAATCTATATCATAAAAATGGCCATACTGCTCAAAATAATTTATAGATTCAATGTTATCCCACTCAAGCTACCATTGATTTTCTTCACTGAACTGGAAAAAAACACCTTAAACTTCATATGGAACCAAAAAAAGACCTGCATAGCCAAGACAATCCTAGGCAAATAAATAAATAAATAAATAAATAAATAAATAAATAAATAATAAATAAAACTGTAGGCATCACACTACCTGACTTCAAACTATACTACAAGTCTGCAGTAATCAAAACAGCATGGCACTGCTACCAAAACAAAGATATAGACCAATGGAACAGAACAGAGGCCTTGGAAGCAATGCCACACATCTACAATCATCTGATCTTTCACAAACCTGACAAAAACAAGTCATAGTGAAAGGATTCTTTGTTTAATAAATGGTGTTAGGAAAACCAGCTAGCCATGTGCAGAAAGCTGAAACTGGACCCATTCCTTATATTTTGTAGAGTAATTCTACTCTATACTGAATTCTAGGCCGTTGAGGTCATTTTTTCCTCTTCTAACAGTTTACGTATTTTACTTCTCTATTTTCTAGCTTTCATGGTTTTTGAATTAAAGTCTCATATAATTCTTATTATTTTTCCTATAGAGATAAATTGTTTCTCCCCACCCATAATTTTTTGAAGATTTTCTTTTTTTGATTATTTGTAGCTTGAATATGACATTCAGTTTCTTACGTTTTTCTTTTCTTTTTTCTTTTCTTTTTTTTCTTTTTCTTTTTTTGAGACAGAGTCTTGCTTCATCTCCAGGCACCAGGCTGGAGTGCAGTGGCGCGATCTCGGCTCACTGCAACATCCGTTTCCCAGGTTCAAGCAATTTTCCTGCCTCAGCCTTCTGAGTAGCTGGGACTACAGGCACGCACCACCATGCCCAGCTAATTTTTGTATTTTTAGTAGAGACAGGGT